CCACTTTGGAAAGTGGTATGGAGGTTCCTCAAAAGACTCCACATGGAGCTCCCCTATGACCCAGCAATCCCCCTTTTTGGCATTTACCCAAATGATCACAAACAAGACCACAGTAAAGCTACCAGCACAACTATATTTATTGCAGCCTTAGTTACATAGCTAAGATATGGAACCAACCCAGATGCCCCTCAGTAGATGAATGGATCAAGAAAATGTGGTATATATACACAATGGAATTCTATGCCTTCATCAGAAAGAATGACATTGCCCCATTTGTTAGGAAATGGAAAGGCTTGGAAAAAATTATATTAAGTGAAGTAAGACAGGCCCAAAGAAACATAGGTCTCATGGTTTCCCTTATTTGCAATTACTAGTATATGTCTGAGTCAAGCAGAAAAAGTCAGATAAGTTGATGTTAGGGAAATGACCCCTAAGATATGTATTCAAATGTTTTTTTCTTTCATGTGATTGTTTCTAACACATTTATAAGATTATTTCTTTGTTGCTTTGTATGTCCCTCCCCCACGGTATAACCCCTGCTTTCACTGTATTTGATGATGTTATAATTTGTGGAGGGAAAGGGAAAAAACAAATCGTTTAAATAGGGATACAGATGGACCCATTGCAACAATGAGAAATACAAACTTTACAACTTTGGTAGTGGGTGGAGGAGGGTTGGGTGGGAGGGCTGGGGGGAGGATGGGATGGGAAGGGTAAACAAAGGAGGAGGCTACAATGCTTGATAAGAAATGTACTCATTATCTTGCCCATGTAAAAATTGTAACCCCTCTGTACAGTATTTTCACAATAAAAAAAAACACACAAAAAACAAAAACGGCTGGAGGTGTAGTTAAGTGGTGGAGCACTTGCCTAGCAAGTGCCAAGCCCTGGATTCAATCTATAATACAAGTATATGTTGTCTCTGGTTAAGTGGCAAACTAATTGAGCTTTGGACTGTTCTTATTCATTATACAGGAAGCTACTAGTAATGGAGAACACTTTTCATAGAGCAAAAGCTTTCTTGTTGTTGTTGCTAAGAGGACACTAGCTCAGTATCAGTTTTTCAACCTAATAGATTAAGGTCTACCAAGAGAAATAGACCAGGAATGAAAAGGGAAACAAACCAAAGTAATAATACTTTAGCAGGGCTGGGAAGGTGGCTCAGTGGTAGAGCACTTGCCTTGCATGCTCGAGGCCCTGGGTTCGATTCCTCAGCACCATATAAGCAAAAAGAAAAAAGCCGGAAGTGGCGCTGTGGCTCAAGTGGTAGAGCACTAGCCTTGAGCTGAAGAGCTGAGGGACAGCACCCAGGCCCAGAGTTCAGGCCCCACAACCGGACCCCCCCCCCCAAAAAAAACAAATACTTTAGCAGAGGTTGAAAATTTAATGGGGAGAGAGGAGGAGAGGAAAAGTGGGATAAAATGTACATAAAGTAATTCAAATGGAAGAAAATAATAACAAAAAAGCTAGATAGAAACAAGTACAAAGAAGAAATAAATGTGAGAATAAGTAGACTGTTAGTGCTCCCAAAAAGTAGAAAAAAGGGGGAGCTTATCAAAAGGAAGAATGGGAAAACAGGCTACCTACCATTATCTTTGCCCTATATTTCAACCACTAACTGGTTTTTGCCCCTCTAAAGTTTTCTTCATGTGGTAACCAATGACCTTCCATTCTCTTTCCAGGCACCACACTGTCCTGCTCTACTTCCCTAAATGTGCCCCACTCTTTTATTTTATCCCCTCTGTCTAGAAAGCTGTCTCCCACCGACCTCCCTTTTGATTCACCCTTCAAACCACCCTGGTTAGATCAAATTTTCTGTCTAATAAATATCTCTACTTTCCTTTACAGTACAGGACAGTTGTAAGTTTACCTATGTCATTACTTGGCGATAGTGATTTTCTTCAGCATGTGGGAAATTCTGTGGAGATACTATAGGTTTATTTCCCCTCACCACTGTAAATCATTTAGTGTCTAACATTGCAGATAATCCAATAAATACACATTGGGTTAATGAACTAAGGGGAACCTGCTAAAACCAAGTGAAAGGGATAACAGTTAGGTGAACAGATATGAGGAAGACAAAAAAAGAAAGAAAACAATAGAACCATATTGCCTTTGAACCTTTCATAATCATCCCCTTGGGAGAGCCTCATACTTGAAGCATTTATTCAGTATCATCCTGAAGGGTGCCTTTCCTGCTTACACACCAGAAAGCAACTTCTCCATCTGTCCTGGGTATGTTTCTTCCATAACACTAGTATAGTCTGCTTTATTTCTTAAACAAATAGGTTCTAGATATAAGAAATATGACAGTGAAGAAACAAACTCATTGCTTTCACAGAGCCTATTTTTTAGTAGGGCTGGAAAGGAACAAACTTATCATTTGGTTAAGTGCTGATACAGAATATAAAAATAAATATTTTATGTGTAAATGTGTACACATGAAACCATGCAGTGGTGCCAGGACATCTAAGCAGACATGAACAAAGCAAAAGGAACTATATGTAAATTGGAGATACTGCTCCAAAGGGATTATTTTTACTTGTTTATTGAATATCTCCCACTAAAATGCAAGCTCTATGAAGATAGGGACTTTGGTGACTATTTGATGCACTCTTTTATTCACCTTGGTACAGTGCAGTGTATACTGCTATAAACGTCTGATGAATAAATGAAAATCTACTTCCGATTTTCAAGAAATGTGCTGTAGATATTAAAACCGAAATAAGTATATCGATGTCTTAATAATAAAATTTAAAAACCTATGGAGACAGGAGACACACTTTGAAAACACAAACATGGAAAGACAAAAATCTGTGGCAAATTATAATGGAATATTTTATTAGTAAGACTGTCAGGTTGCCAGGATCCAATGGCTCAAACCAGCCCAAGCAGAAAAGTCTGAGATCCTTAGTTCCAATTAACCAGCAAAAAGCTGGAAATAAGTGTGGCTCAAGTGGTAGAGGGCCAACTTTGTGCAAAATGGCCAAGCGAGAGCATGGGCCCATTCTCAAGCCCCTGTACTGGCATAACCAATCAATCAATAATAAAACTGTAAGGAACCAAAAGAATAATGGAAAAATAGTATCATATGCAAGTAGTACTAGCTATTATCCATTATTTAGGAAGATTCAAAACAATGCATGATAACTGGTTATGAGGAATCAAGACCCTTTCGCCCCTTATGCTCAATTTCTAAACAAGCTACCATTTTCTTAAAAAAAGTGCTGAGACATGGTGAAAATACATCCAAAAACCCTTTGCTTACATAAACTAAAATAATCATTTGCAATTCAGATCAGCCATTATCTGTTGCCATTGTGTTCTTTTTCCCCCTATGTCCACCTAATCAGAACTTAAATGGAATCAAAAGCCTAGAGAACCTCAAACTAATACAGCACAAAAGTATGATCATGTGTACATTGAATACAATAAACAGCTGAAAGCATCTTTTGAGTTTGCAGTATTAACCAAAAACACAATCATTACCTGTAACACGAGGTGCACTACTGTATCAGCTTCTTGACAGGTTACCTATTGTGTTCCAAAGACTTTTCCTGAACTCAAGAAAAACTCACAGCTTCATCATCTTGGTAAGAATCTCATATAAAGCTCTCTCATCACTTAGACATAGCAAGAATTAAGAAAATTACTAGCAGAGTGCTGGTGGTTCACGCCTGTAATCCTCTGAGGCTCGTGGTTCGAAGCCAAAAGCCAACCAGGGCAAGAATACTCTGTAAGACTCTTAGCCTTGAGCAAAACAGCTCAGGGACAGCATCCAGGCTGAGTTCAACCCCCAGGATCTGCGCGCACGCGTGCGTGTGCACAAACACACACACACACTTTCCCCCCACACCTCTCTTCATAACTGAAATGCCGTTATCAAAGCAGTAAACAAGGCACACCCAAACCCTCCACATCCTCCGACAGAACCTGTAACAACCAAGGTAACAGGTTTTCGATTCAATTAGACTTTATCTCCTAAGGCGCAGCGAATCTGGAGGGGGGGGGGGGAGGGCGGTAATGGCAAAAATTACGCCAAGTGTAATTATTTTTAACCAACACGGAGACTCACTTTCCCAACCGTACTGACAATAAGCTCGATTACGGACAGCCAACACGGAACCGACAGTGAAGTAACAGAAACATGTAAAGTTCTCGGGCCTGGAATAAAGTGAAATTTAGCTACCCGAGGAGGCGGAGGGGTAGGGGGAAGAATTTACAAATAAACCGGCCCAAAGCCACCACGACACTTAATACCACGGACCCCAGACGCAAAACCTCTTTCTCTTTTATTCCCCCCCCCCTCTAAAGACGGGTTGAATCCACCCACCGTAAACATTTCACTGAATAAAAATTCTTGAATGGCAACACGAAACTTCGTCCATTACCTACCCCGACTCTCCGCCCCACACCCAGCTGACCCCGTGACCCTCAGATTGTGTCACAATTATCCTTAATCTTATATGTATTCTTTAATGTTAGCAAAACCTATTTTGTAAGTGATCAGGCAGGGCCCAGGCCTCCTGTGGACGCTGAGTGGCACAGGCCAAGCCCGGGGACTCCGCAGAACCCCCCCCCCCAAAGTAGGTCTTCCCCCTTTTCCAAACCCACCCCCGACGACCCCAAACTTTCTAACGATGCCCGGATGTAGTCGGCTCTCGCACTCTCGGGCCACCATCGAGAAATCAACACGGAAAAAAAGCCCCCGATCCCCGCGCGCCGCCTCCCAGGCCGCCCCCCGCCCCCCCCCCAGGCCGGACCGGGCCGGGCCGGGCCGGGCCGGGCCGGGCCGCAGCGAGGCCCGCGCAGCCCCTCGCCCCGGGGCGGCCCGGAACGCGGCGCGGTCGCAGCGCGCCCCCTCCCCGCCATCGCCCGCCGCGCGCCCCGCTCGGCTCGAGTCCACCCAGCGCCGGGGGCCGCGGCGGCCCCGGACTCCCCCCCCACACCCCCCTCCCGCACGGGTCCCGCTCCCGGGAGGGCAGAAAACACGTCGTTACCTTCCAGGAAAGTCATCTCCTCGGCGCTGCAGCTGCCGCCGCCGCCACCGCCGCCGCCGCCGCCGCTCTTGCCGGCCGCCATCTTCCTCCTCCCACGCCGCCGCCTCCTTAATCCATGGCCCAGGCCGCCACCGTGCTCGCGGGGATGAGGGGCCGCGCCCGGGGAAGGTAGCCGCCTCAGGGTTGCGGGCCTCGGGCTCCGCGTCAGGCGAGCGGCGGCCCCGCGTCCGGAGAGGCCTTCACAAAAGCAGGCCCCTGACGCGCGGGGCCCCGCGGCGGGGAGGCGGGCGGCGCGGAGGCGGGCGGCGCGGAGGCGGAGGCGGGCGGCGCCGCGGCCCCGGGGCCTCCTCCTCGGCCTCCTCCGGCGGAGCGCGGGCGGCGGCGGCGACGCTTCCCGGGTCCGGCGGCGCTCGGCCCGCGAATCCCCCATCCACGGCCCGCCCGGGCCGCGCGAGAAGCTTCTCCCGGCCGCGGGTCCTCCGGAGGGAGAAGGCGGGCGGGCGGGCGCTCACACGGACACACGCACGCCGCCCTGCGTCCCCGGCCCGAAAATGGCCGCACCCGCCGCGTCCGGGCGGCGAGGTCTTCGCCCACCCGTCAGGCGTCCCCGCCCGGATCCCCTCAGTTCTGCGGCAGTGGCCGCCGCCGTCGCTGCTGCTGTTGCTGCTGCTGCCGCCGCTCAGGCCGTGCGCACACCCCGCCCCGGCGTGAGTGCATCAGCGCCGGCCGTGCGGACGCCTCTCCGTCGCGTCGGTCGCCGCCGCCGCCGCCGCTTCCCCGCCCCCACCCCACCCCGGGCGCCGGAGCCGCCGCCGCCCCCCCCCCCCGCGGCCCCGGCTGGGCTCCCCCCCCGCGGCCCCGGCTGGGCTCCCGGGCCCGGACGGGAGGCGCCCGCCGCCCTGCGTCCAGGCTGCCGGTGGGGCCGGGCCCCGGGGGCCGCCAGGGCGGGCCGCGCCGCTGCGGTATTTGGCGTCAGTCTGCAAAGTTCACGTCTTTCCGAAGGCCTTGGAATTAAACCATTAAAAAGGGAAAAAAGAAAAAGGGAAATGGGGGGAAAAGCTACCTGAAGCTTCAAACGGTGGAGAGGGAACACAGTCATTCAGCGGGGGAGGTGGGGGGGACGGCCCTCCCCACGGGAATGTTCCAGAGACCGGGTCAGAGAAGCTTCTAGCACCACGCCCTTCTTCTCCTTTTAGGAGACTTTTTAAGAGAAATCAACAACCAGCCCACCTGACAAGTCGGCACCCATGGCTTCCAGACCCCGTAGCAGGTTGATCGTTCGTGGCCTTTTGCGGTTTCTTTCATTCCCTTCTTTTTCAAAAAGAGTCCATTTTCTATTAAGGGAGATGTCAACTTTTTCAAAGTTCTCCCACGTAGCCTCGCAACTGCAGTTCAGCTCCCGCGATCAGGTTTTCTTAACTTGTTCGATATTGATCTTTAAGACGACAACAAAAATCTACACTGTACCATAGTCAACAGCAGATTTTTGTTGTTGTCGGTCGTGGGGCTTGAACTCTGGGCCTGGGCGTTGTCCCTCAGCTCTTCAGCTCAAGATGAGTGCTCTATCGCTTGAGCCACAACGTCACTTCCGGTTTCCTGGTGGGTTTTATTGGAGTTAAGAGTCTCACAGACTCTCCTGCCAGGGCTGGCTTTGAACCGCGATCCTCAGCTCTCAGCCTCCTGAGTAGCTAGGATTACAGGCCTGAGCCACTGACGCCCCCTAGAATTATTATTTTAATGGTTAAATACATCCTTTGGACAATAACTTGTCCCCGTAACCAGGACTTACTCAGGAAGTCTTTTGGGCATATAGTTCCTTTGCTTATCTGTCTCACAGAGAACCAGTGACCTTTCTGACTTGGTGAGAAGAATGTAATGAATGTAATTTATTCTATTTTGTTTGAGGAAATTTCATGAACTTGCTGTGATAAGCCAATGACACAATACTGAGCCGTTATAGAGGTAGATATGACACAACTAGTCTTAGGTCCATGCTCCAGATGTCTAAAGAAATAAACTATTTGTTTAAACCATCTGGTTTGTCAAATGGAAGGAACCAGAAGTGAAAGAATATGGTGGGTAGCTCCTGGAAGTGGCAATGGCAGGAAATTAGTTCTCCCCCTAGAGCCTCCAGGAGAAAAAACACCTTGCTTTTAGCACGTAGAGACAGGCAAAATGTCCAGCTAACCTGAGGACAATGTAAAAGAATGTATGGTAAGTTGCCAAACTAGGGGTGTAGTAACCTTGTAGCAACCATGAAAAAGAATGCACAGGGAATTAAAAACAAGTGTATCTTCTGAAACAAACAATCTGTCAAAGCCCAGGAGTTTCCATTATTTTGTTAGTGCTGATACTGGGAACTTAAACTCTGGGTCTAGGTGCAATCCCTTAGCTTTTTTTTTTCTTTTTTCTTAAAGCAAGGCTGGCACTCTACCACTTGAGCAACACTGCCGCTTCTGGCTTTTTGCTGGTTCATTGTTGATAAGTCAGATTTGTCTAAGCTGGGTTCGAATTGTGATACTCAGATCTCAGTCTCCTTAGTAGCTAGGGTTACAGGCTTAAGTCACCAGTGCCTGGGTCCTTCTTTTTTTTTGGGGGGGGGGGGGGTCCAGTCTTGGGGCCTGAACTCTGGGCCTGGGCGCTGTCCCTCAGCTCCTCAGCTCAAGGCTAGCGCTCTACCACTTGAGCCACAGTGCCACTTTTGGCTTTTTTTTTTCTTTTTTTTTGCTTATGTGGTGCTGAGGAATAGAACCCAGGGCCTCAGGCATGCAAGGCAGGTGCTCTACTACTGAGCCACCTTCCCAGCCCATGCCTGGGTCCTTTTTGAGCTTTTACTTAGTTCAGCTAAGGTCTGTGGGAATTTGGTAACTGCAAAGCAGAGGTATAAATTAAAACAATCACCTAAAAGATTTGTTAAAACAGGTTACTTTGTCCCACCTTCAGAGTCTGATTCAGTGAGAATAGAGGGAGACCAAAGAAACCATTTCTGAAAGTGCACAAGTAATGTACATGCAGCTAAGCGCATGACCATATTTTGAAATCATTACATTCAAGCATCTCTAAATTACTTTCCAGTTTAATTATTCTAAGTCTGCAATTGCAAGTGCAATGATCAGTGTCTGTTTTCAAGTATATGTTAAATACATTTTCTTTACTGCTATTCCAAAGGAGTATGATTAAGAATTGATAGAATTGTGTATCTATTTACATAGTTTTTAACCAAAAAAGTTTCAAAATTAGAATATGTCCTTGAAATATTGTGTATTTAGTAATTTACAAAAATACAAACCTAACATTTTCTGTTGTTCTTGTTTTTTGGAAGGTGGGGGCAGAGATTGTTTTCTGATCCAAGGTCTTCCTGTGTAGCCCAGACTGGCCTTGAATTTTACACCTCCCAAGTGCTGAGATTACAAGCATACACCATCATAACCAGCCTTTCTGTGTTTTTTTTTTTTGGAGGGGGGTCCGGTCGTGGCGCCTGAACTCTGGGCCTGGGCGCTGTCCCTCAGCTCTTTAGCTCAAGGCTAGCTCTCTACCACTTGAGTCACAGCGCCACTTCCGGCTTTTTTCTTTTTTGCTTATGTGGTGCTGAGAATCGAACCTGGGGCCTCAAGCATGCAAGGCAAGCACTCTACCACTGAGCCACCTTCCCAGCCCATAACCAGCCTTTCTGATATACATACTCTGATTATCCATGTCCAACATCTCATCTTGGATCTGCTTCTCTTCCACATTCAAACATCCCACAACTACTATGACCATCCTTAATCTCCATGCAATCTCTAGACCCAGTGACTCCTACTTCTTTTTTCCTTCCTTTCTTCCTTCCTTCCTTGCTTTCTTGCTTTCTTTTTGCCCTGGTACTAGGACTTGAACTCAGGGCCTAGGTCTTGGACCCTTATCTTTTTTGCTCAAGACTGGCACTCTACCACTTGTGCCACAGCTCCACCTCTGGCTTTTTGTGGGTTCATGGAAGATGATTGAGAGTCTCGTGGGCTTCCCTGCCCAAGCTGTAGTCCTTAGATCCCAGCCTCCTGAGATTACAGGTATGAGCCACTGGCACCCAGCTCTCACTTTTCTGTGTCTTCACTTACATTTACTTTTCTCCCTACCTAGTTCAGATTCCAAGGCACATTATTTCATTTCCTTTTTAAATTTATTTATTTATTTATTTATTTGCAGTACTGGGATTTGAGATGGGGGTGAGGCTTACTGTTTGGTAGGCAGGTCTTCTGCTCTTTAAACCATACCTCCAATCCTTATTTGCTCTCATTTTTTAGTAGGGTCTCACTTTTTACCCAGACCAGCATGGACTATGATCTTCCTATTTATACTTCTGCATGGCTGAGATGCAGGGATGTGCCACCATGTCTATCTCTTTCTGTTGAGAAGATATATCTGTCTTACTCCCCACCTAAGTCTGGCCTTGGACCAGAATTGTACTTATCTCCACCTCACAAATAGGAATATAGGGGCTGGGAAGGTGGCTCAGTGGTAGAGCGCTTGCCTTGCATGCCTGAGGCCCTGGGTTTGATTCCCCAGCACCACATAAGCAAAAAAAAGAAAAAAAAAGCCAGAAGTGGCGCTGCGGCTCAAGTGGTAGAGCGCTAGCCTTGAGCTGAAGAGCTGAGGGACAGCGCCCAGGCCCAGAGTTCAGGCCCCACAACCGACAAAGAGAGAGAGAGAGAGAGACAGACAGACAGAAAGACATATAGAGAGAGACAGACAGAGACAGAGAGACAGACAGAGACAGAGAGAGAGAGAGAGAGAGACCTACCTAACTCTAAAGATCACTGGCAGTCTCCAAGTCCTCTCAGTGCCAATCAGAAGTCCCGCACAGCCTGCACCAGCTCTCCATGTATCCTTTAGCACCTCCTACTAGCTACCTATTCTGGCATCCACCTTTGGGAACCAATCAGTGCCTGCAAGTCTTCCAGAGGCAACATCTATGGCCCCAGGGTTCATGACTGCTTGAGGCCATGGCAATGAGGGGTCTGAAGCTGCATCTGGGACTGCTCCAGGCCAGGGTGAGGGATGCAGAACCTCTAGGGGAGGAGGCCTTTGTCCTGATTGCCTGGCTAGGCCCTTCTGCTCTCCTGGGGCCCACTTACGAATCATAGGAATCTCTACTCCTCTCACAATGGGAAATCAAACCTCTCACAATGGGAAATCAAACAAATGCAAAATTAAACACGAGAAATAAAACTGGTGCTTTTCCAGTATCTGACATGGTGATAAACAGGTA